GACCACTCCATGGGAGAGGACTGAGGGACCTTTGGTCTAACCCTACGTGGCCAGACCTCGGCACACAGAAGACAATGTTTGGTTTACACTAAAAGCAGCTGCCGTAATAAAGATTAAAAACATGCATCTTATTCAACAGCCTCTCGTCAGCGCTGGCTGGGGCTGCGGGGCTGGGTGGGACGGGAGAGGAGGGACATGTCCCATCACACGACATCCAGCTCGGGGGGGGCTGCTGGCTTCTGATCTTGTGGGGGGAAAGGAAGGGACCTGTGGGATGTTTGGACCAGGTGAGCTGGAAAAAGCAGCAGATGTTGGAGCATGAAAAAAAATCCCTAGCTAGCAATAAAAAGCATGGTCTCTTGATCACTTTTAGTAGTGCTTTTTCCAAAAATAATTACTGCTCCTTTTCTTAAAAATTCAGTTTATTTTATGGAGGTTAAAAACCAGGTTAAGGCAATCAGTAAAAATCCCAGGCTGAGGATCCACGCTGGAGATGTAATGGGATAATGGCATTTTTAAAGGCGATTTACAGCTGAGTGACTCCATTCTGCCAGCACTAACTCTCTTTCTCCTCCTGTTCCTTCTCTGGAGTCACCACTGCCTTTCACATCCCTTTGTATCCTCCAAATTCCATTTTCATTCAACAAACTCAGTGAAATACAGTAAAATCATGTCCACAAGCTGCAGCTTTCATGTTCTCAGTACCACCCCGGTTACCATCACATGGCTCTACCCAAAAGCTATCCGCTTCACCAACAGAAACAGAGTTACCCCCTGGGGATGACATATCAGACCATCACATTTTTAAGCCTGAGAACAAGGTAAAGTGAAACAAAGAGGTAACCTGGGAAGAGCAGAAAACACCCCAAAACACCCCAAAACTGTCCTGGGAACATCCCAATGGGACAGTCCCCACAGGCAACCTGCTGCCAGCTCAAGCCCCTCTCTGCCAGCCATGCAAAAAAACCTTGGAAAAGCAGCCAAATTCCTTTTATCCCCTTAAGATACAAACATCCATGTGGAAAAAGAGCCAGGGACCCTCGTCCCTTCCCTGCATTTGCAGCCCTTTTAACTAACAGTTCCTAAACGGCACTTTCCAGGCCCGTGAAAGAGAGGCGCTTATTGGACTAATGCCTCTTCGTGTTGAAATTAATGCAAAGCCTTTGAAATTACCACCGTCTCTACGGGACTAACGCCGCCACGGGAATGGGGGGCCAAACCCTGCCCTTTCCTTGCCTGTTGATGTCAACAGAAATTTGCTGCTGTGCGTGGGGGCAGAAAGCTGCATAATGGTTGGAGAGCAGGGAAAGTTACCTTTTTTTTTTTTTAAAAGAAAAAATAAAACCAGAAAAGCATACATTTCCAGGAGATAGCCTTCGCTCTGCACCTTTTAGTGGAACCTGGGGAGTTTTGCCCTGATCTTTCCATCATGAACCATCTGATACTGCACTAAAATACTTAAGATGATGCCAACCCCATTTCTGGTGGCATCCACAGCCCAGAGACCTTCTGGTGAGACCCAGCCCCTGCAGCGGGCCATTGCTTCGCACCCACCCGTGCACTCCTGAGAGAGGTACACGCATCACTTTGACAAGGAAAAAAGCCCGAAATGGGTGTTTGGCATTTCCTTACCATGTTGCCTTCATCATCGCAGTCATCGCAGTCCTGTTGGGCGTCATCCAGGTGGAGCTGGTGCAGCAGCAGGCCCGGAGAGGTCTTCCCGTTGCAGTCCTGGTGCTCGGAGGCAGAGGTCCGGCTGCTGTGCATGCTGCTAGTCCGGTACAGGGAAGGCACCTGCAGGGTATCCTGGAGGTCGAAGGAGCCTTTTGTTTCCAGCGACTCCATGCGATGAGGCAAAGAGCCGTTGAAGCTGCCGGCCCGGCTGGAGCGCTCCTCATCCGAGCTCTCCCCTTCCTCTGAGCTCTCCTTCCCCTCTCCCGAGAGGAGGGATCTGCGCTCGCCGCTCTGACCACGACGCTTGAGGCTGGGGGCCC